CGTTGATTACGTAATCTTTACTACTACTGTTATAATTATTATAATTTCATCATTGTTACCTTATTTTAACTTCATTACAATTCTTTTTCTACATATTAATACGACGCCTAGTGGTGTGTAGGACGTGTGTGTTATATGAATCTACCAATGGCTTACCATGAGATAGAGCTGTCTTCAGCTCAGTGATAGAGCTTCGGGTCACGCACTCCAAAGGTCTGGGATTTTTTAAATCTCAAGAAACTAACGAAATGAAATATTTATCAAGACCATTAAAGAGTATGGAAGACTGAATTTATGGATCTTTACCTTGACCAAAATTTACCGACGCAGCCAAACAACTGTCGGTTTCTTTGGAAAAATGGTCAACGGCTCTTTCTCCTATCAAGGCATTTGACTTTATCAGTAGTCGAAAAATGGTGGTAGTAGTGGAAAAATGAAAAAAAAACCCTGCATCTTTTTTATTTGTTATTTTTTTATGACTTTTAGGTTGAAAACAGACATCTGAAGAGCTGAGATGCACCTCGATACACTTACGCTATCATGCTCATCAACAAACTAAATGATGAAGATGACAATAGCACGCATCACTTAACAATTCATTTCAATCCTTAATCGTTGTTGCTGATTATAGAAAATAGCTTTAAAACTATTTTTTTAATGAAATATCTATATTTGAGTCGTCTTCTGTCATGTTCATCGTAAACACAAACACAGTAAAGGAAATAAAATGTTTTTCATGGGCCCTCTCTAACAGCTTAGAGGTGTTTTTAGTTTTAGTGCATAGTGTTAGTGACGTGTCAAGACTCCAAAGAGTTTCGTTCCAAAGTTTTCTGTGTCAGTTACTTGGAAATTATAATGTTTTGATCAATTGAATGTTACCAAGTTTACTAAGTTTAATTAGAAATATTCGCTAACACTACATACGTAGGATACACTAGCTTGCAATAGGCAATACTTAGTTTAGGCGAGTAGTTTATGGTTTTCGTCCACTATTATTGTGAAACAAGTCCGAAAAAGGCAAAACAAAGCCTACAAGAAAATTCAAACAAGATACATGGATATGAAAAAATGATTACATAACCAAATAGCACAATTTTCAATCGAGTGTTGAAAGTACTCCCAGATTACAATGGTTTTGCTTTACTCCGCTCTGTGATTGGTCCAAAAAAACTCGCACCTCTCCGCACTCGCACCAATCCGGTGCAAAGTTAAAACCAAACAGCGTTTTTCCGTGTGTTTAGTAATTGGCTTGTCTTTACTTTGAGCTCTCATGGCTCTTCAAGTATTGACCCTTCTTCTGATTGGTCGTTGGGATAATTTTGGTTTTGTTTTTACGACACTCAATCGAAAAGCGCTCTTAAAACT